GTCTTATCCACCTGGCCATGCCGGGCCTCGGATTTCGATAACCACAGTGAAGATAGCACAAATAGCCCCACTTATGTTGTTTTACAATTTTACAGAACAACTTAGGGGATGGGAAACGTGTTTAGCTAATAAACTGAATATCTTACAAGATTATATAATAGCAAATTTTGCTGGACGATATAGTGATTTAATGCTGTAACTACGCATAATAAAATTGAAAATTAAAGATTAGGATAGTACTAAACCTAAACCATTATTTTATAAAACGTGCTTACTTATAAGTAGCGAACGACTAAAGCGATTGTCACCAAACCTGTCATGTACTCTTAGGGTCCTCAGAGAGTGACATAAAAGGGGTTGGCATTTCGGTCTGATCTCTCTATGTCACTCTCCGGGGGCATCTATGTCATCTACATGCATTCAACAGGTATATCAACTGGTAATGCAGTAAAAGACGGAAACCTCACTACATAATATCATAGGTTGAACGGTGGAAAATTGTTCTAAAAGTCAACGGAAAATGATAATTTTTATTTCGGATCTTCGTTAAGTGTGTGTATGTGTTTGTGTTATGATAAAGCTACAACGGGCCATCTGTTGTGTCCACCGAGGAGAATAAAACTTACTTGGCACTTTGGGTTCGTGGATGAAAACTTACTTGGCACTTTGGGTTCGTGGATGCGCTACAAAAGCGACCTTACTGTCGCACTATTCGACCAAACAATGGTAGTCCAAAAGTTGGTAGTTAGTGCTGTTGACTAGCTGCCTTCATTCTTGTCTGTCAGTTTAAAATAAATGACATCTATGTTCAGATAGTCCTTGCGCTAGCTACCTTCCTTCTTGTCTGTCAGTTTAAAATAACCGACAGCTATGTCCAGATAGTCTTTGTATGGCTCTTAACGAAAAGTCCCCCGCTGGGACAGCGGTAAATCTACGGATTTACAATGCTAAAATCAGTGGTTCGCATCCACGAACCCAAAGTGCCAAGTAAGTTTTCGTTGCAACGAACCGCCAACCTTGAACCCTCAGATTTACAGTCCGGCCTATGGGAACAAGTAGGGTTATAGGACTTTTTTCTGATGATAAACTTCACAACAAGGAAGTGTATTACACAATTTTTATACAAAAGTGATCATTTTCATGCATATAAGTTTAGTTACTTTCATTTTTAAAACAAAAACCATAACTGCCAAATCGACATATATTTTTATATATATATATTTTTCGCAAAAAAACAACAACATACAATACATAAGTCGTAGCAGTATTTGTAATGATTCAACAAGGAAATACTTTCATAGAGAAATTACCATTACGGTAACAATATCACTAAACTAGTGGAATCTAGCCAACTGAAGGTAAATTTAAACCTCGCTGCTGCTATCTCAAAACCTACATCATAATATAAATAACTGTTTTCAGCAAATTATAGAAATAAAAAAATATTATTATAGGGAAGTTTAATCTCAGTTTCATAATCACAATGATGCATAGATGGCTATTGTATTATCAGACATAGAAAATAGGACTTGTACAATTATTTACAAATGTGAAGATCTGGAAATCAACTTACACATAAATACTGTGGCTTGTTTTTTTTAAGTTCTTGGAAATAGAACGCTGAAGACATCGCCGTTCTCAGTTTACTTGAATTTTATATCCTAAGTTTCATTGTATGAACCTAAATATTGTATTGTTTCATTGTATGAACCTAAATATTGTATTGTATTGTTTCATTGTATGAACCTAAATATTGTATTGTTTCATTGTATGAACCTAAATATTGTATTGTTTCATTGTATGAACCTAAATATTGTATTGTATTGTTTCATTGTATGAACCTAAATATTGTATTGTATTGTTTCATTGTATGAACCTAGATATTGTATTGTATTGTTTCATTGTATGAACCTAAATATTGTATTGTTTCATTGTATCAACCTAGATATATACCATTTTACTCAAACGTCATAACAATTACATAGTGACAAAGAGGAATAATTTATATACACATATTTATATACCGTGAAATGAAAATATGTCATAAACGATAAGATCTAAACTTATATTAAAGAAACTGAAACGGTTCAACTCGAACTATCTAACATTATGATATAATATATCCAATCATTATTACGTAGTCTAATTCACTTAAGTAAATGGCGTTTGTCATATCATGATAAAGTAATGTGTTTTGTGTTTATAGAGTGCTTTTGTTATATAGACATATACATAGAATAATTTTATCGTTTCGTTTTTTAAGCGCTATCTAAACAGGTTTTTATCTCAATATATTTAACGAAGGAAAAATAATATTAAATACCCACCAACGGAAACCGCCACTTTATATTTATGCATTTCTTTGTTTTTCTACTCTCTAGTCATTCAGTAAAGTGCACAATAAAAATTTAAACCTTCCGACTACCATGGCGTCCATTAAATTACACAACAAAGACTTGAACCTTTCGACTACCATGACGTCCATTAAATTACACAGCACAGACTTTAACCTTTCGACTACCGTGACATCCATTAAAGTACACAACAAAGATTTAAATCTTCTGAATACATGATGACCCTTAAAGTGCACAACAAAGACTTAAACCTTCCGAATATCAACATGACCATTAAAGTGCACAATAAAGAGTTAAACCTTCTGAATAACATGATGACAATTAAAGTGCACAACAAAGACTTAAACCTTCTGAATACATGATGACCCTTAAAGTGCACAACAAAGACTTAAACCTTCCGAATATCAACATGACCATTAAAGTGCACAATAAAGAGTTAAACCTTCTGAATAACATGATGACAATTAAAGTGCACAACAAAGACTTAAACCTTCTGAATACATGATGACCCTTAAAGTGCACAACAAAGACTTAAACTTTCCGAATATCATGAGGACCATTAAAGTGCACAATAAAGAGTTAAACCTTCTGAATATCATGAGGACCGTTAAAGTGGACAACAAAGATTTAAACCTTCCGAATATCATTAGGACCCTTAAAGTGGACAACAAAGATTTAAACCTTCCGAATATCATGAGGATCATTAAAGTGGACAACAAAGATTTAAACCTTCCGAATATCATGAGGACCGTTAAAGTGGACAACAAAGATTTAAACCTTCTGAATATCATGAATGTCGATCTAGAGAATATCTTCCCCGTAGCGTCCTTAGATTTCCAAATTCTGTTTCACATTGAGACACCTTGTGTATTTAACTTTAACTTTTTTATGGACACATTTTTCTTGTTATGTACATCATGCCATGATATATCCAACGGCACATTTTTGTTTTCAGTTTTTCAGTGTTTGTGACTACTTGAGAGAGCTTAAAAAACATTCAACCAGAAAATACTGTACAATGACGGCAACGACGTTGATACAATCTGTATTAAACCGTAATAAGTACAAATAAAATAACACATTATCAACCAGAAGTCTAATCTGTAATTACATATTTCCAGAAATACGTAGAATGTTTATTTATCTATACTGAAATGTTGAATCACAATTTTATAAATAAAACATACTGAATGTTTCTGAGGAAGCAAGAGAAACATTTATCATTTTCTTAGTACATTAGTTTTATCCAACAGCGTCATTTCAGAGCAGTCTTCCTCAGTTCCCCTCTTTGTCACCTGCATTTACTCATGTTATCATGAGAAATGTATTACTGTTACTATGAAAGGAGGTTTGATACACCTGTTTCTATAAAGTGTAGGTCGCATTCCATACGGATAACTAAATGTTTATAAACAATACAAATGAGATAAAAAAAACGTTGAATAAAATTGTAAAAAAAATACAAGAATAAAAAACCTAAAGTCGTTTATTTATTCTGATGTAAAGTAAGCCTACCTTAATAGTTGTACATTCAGTAAAACTTTGAAGAGGTATAGCACAAAGATAATGAAGAACAGACAAATTTCTAGTGATGAAAACTATCTAATACGTATCTTCTATTGAAAGAAGTTGGAGAAGAGTAGAATCCACCAATGTGAGAATTTAAACGTTCGATATTTAATTTACCTATTATCTATAAGTAGCAACAATTTGCAACAGGTACTTATTTAGTAGCCAACATCTGAGGAAGTTACAAACTAAGTTTTACTTTTCCCCTGTGTCTACACATCAGCCTTAGCTACTCTATTACTTCCAGCGCCATAACAGTTTCTAACACTTCCACACAACCCGAGTGTTTGAACGAATATCTGCCCTTTGTTTTCGGGAATTGAATGTTGGATTTTAGCGTTGTAAACCTGTAAACTTATCGCTGACCTACCAGGACACAGGTTGGTGAAGCGACAAAGTTACACTGAGTGAAAAGGCTGGTAAATCCAGGATAAAAAGAAAATGTTAAATAATGCCATTTAACCCTCTTGAAGTGTTTTTTTTTATATATTGTTTTTTCAATGACGAAATGAATTAACTTGAAATACAATAATGAACCAGAAAGTGCATTTTATCTATTATCTAAATATTTCAAAAAATAGCATAAATTACTAGCAAAAATATTCAATTGCTGAACGAATAAAACAACAGAAGTAAATTCAATTTCTGAGGAAACGATATTTATATGACGCAATTAAACACATTAAAATATTGCAACAAAATTTATATTTCACTTTACTAGATGTTGTTGCGTTTTTCTGCACAGGGACTGTTCCATATAGTCGCATAAGGTACAATAAAATCATTCACTAAATGATAAGTCTGCAGGCTTACAACACTAAACTGGTGGGCAACGCATTATGTAGCTTTGTGCTTAAAAACATCAAATCCGAGCTATTTGTTGTGTTAGCTGATTATATCTGAAAATCTAGTAGCCTGGTTGAAGAATTACATTCAATTTTATAGGTGCATATTTATCACTAGAGTGCTCAGAAAATGGCGCTTGGCTTGTATGGAATACATAACATTTACTTTTGATAGGCAAAAAGAAAAAAACAACAAAAAACCATCATTTAATGTCTTTAGCAATGGAAATTCTATCATGAGCACCGTTACATAGATCACCGGACAGATCTTGTTGGTGGCTCACTAATTAAAACCTGGGAAATGCTTAGGTACGAAAACCGTTTCACTTACTGACTGAATCTATATAACAATCCTACAGTAACTAACACTGAAAACAAATATCGAAAGTACAATGAGGTATAGAACAATTTCCTGAACTAATCCTAGGATACAAACTTGAAATCTTAGAGACTTACTCATATAGTGGTGGCAACTAATCATACTACTACTACTATGCAACATTTAAGTTGTTCTTACACTATACACTGACAAATATAACCGATAAAGAGTGGATTTTATGTCAATAATCAGTTTTCATTTCATTGGGTTCTCGCAGATTTATCACTTGAACAACTTTGCTTTTTCTAACTTGTAAATGATGTGGATATTTCAAACATAGCATACATCAGTCTTTTCGGAGTAATGTTCTAGATTGCACTTCACTGGTGGCCCGTGGAAACCATCTTCACTGTATATATAAACTCACAAACACGTATTCAGCTCTTTTACCATATGTATTCCTTTTCGCCATATTCACTTAGAAACAGATACAAACATTTCTCTACATTTGTTTGACGCCATATTGAAAGATTACCACTGAAGCCACCAAGATAACGGATTTTCGGAGCAAAGGAACTATCCGTGGAGTGGCGGCGCTGCTCATACATCCTGGAACCGGATTCGCGTGAGGAGCTACAAAAGAAGATAAAATCTTAGATAAGATTACAGCCCTAAAGAAACAAAACAGCTTAATTGTCACACTTTTATACAGAGAAACACCGAGTCTTTGAATGTAATGTAGGTCCCATTTCTTTAAAGGGAAATGAAGAGAGAGATTCAAGTTCCATTATTACCACACTTTCAATCCGAGGTTAATTTAGATTGTCTGTTGTTCAACAAGGGAATGTTTCTTCATGAATTTCTCTTTTTAGTTATTTAAATTATTAGGTGAAAGACGTGAAACTGTAATATAAGGAAAATCCATTAAATAATCTACTTATACTTTATTATTTAAGAACGGCACTGATTTCTAATACAACTATTAATGCATAGTTCTAAGCTTAAAAATACAAAGTCGCATTTTTTTCACATCTGGTTAAACATTTGGTATTTTAAATCTGAACGGCACCTTATGCAACACGAATTAAATGGTCAGGCCAGAACTTCTCTGGTTCAGGAATAGCTGTGAAATGCTGAATATTAGGATGAACTGTTACTATTCTAACACACTCAACGCTGAAAGTGTGGGGCGTGTTCAGCGTTATTGCGGTACAAACGTTGAACCTTCGTATCGCAGCCCAGCGTGTTAACCACTAGGATATTTCCAGTACTCTGCTTAAGAGAAAATGCAGCACAGCAATCATACCACTAAAAATTCAATAATTGGTTGATTCAGTTGTTTGGGCTTATGATTTTTGACAAATCTTTCTAAATTCCTGTTATTTATTTAAGTAATAATGAAGGTTTCTTCCTAATCTTTTAGGCATCATATTTTTGCAGGTTACTCCCGTTAGCAAGATAACTTCCAAATAACACCAGACTTCTGTACATCGTAGGCCTATATACAAAAACAAGATAACTTCCTGCCGTGCTTTAATTTCTGTACAGTAATCAACTACTGACGCAGCCCCCAGTGGCAGTGGTATGTCTACCTACTTATAACCTAATAACAAAACAACAACTACTGACGCAGCCCCCAGTGGCAGTGGTATGTCTGCGGACTTATAACTTAATAACAAACAATAACAAAACAACAACTACTGACGCAAGACTCACTGTTCTTTTTGTTTTTGTATATAGGCCTACGATGTACAGAAGTCTGGTGTTATTTTCAAAGCATTTTCAAAACTCAAAATTCATTTGTGCTTCTGAAATAAAATTTAAAATTATTAATTTAGGATCCTAAACGCGATGATTAACGCAGTAATAATGATGGGTTAAATTTGTAATACTGTTATATTATTTCTTAGGTTGGGACGACGTTTCGATCGATATGCTAAGCAGTCCGTTACAGACTTCAACCCTATACTGTTTCGATGCTGCAAAAAATACCAATTAAACAAAAGTTGTTTTGTTATTAGGTTATAAGTAGGTAGACATACCACTGCCACTGGGGGCTGCGTCAGTAGTTGTTGTTTTGTTATTAAGTTATAAGTAGGTAGACATACCACTGCCACTAGGGGGCTGCGTGAGCAGAGGCTTAGAGTTAGAACCATGTTCTGTTATGAAAGATGTTTACTTAAATAATAATCGGATCTTACTTTTCAATAATTTAATTTAATAATAAAAACACACACACAAATATATATATATACAAATATCAGTCAGTTCCTACTTCTTTAATATCCCTCTTAACAATCAAAACAGCTTGTTTGTTTTGTTTCGGATATTTGCGCAATTCTACATAAGCCATCTCTAATTTTGAATTGAGGAGAAAGGCAGAGAATCCACAGCACTCTTGGGGGTTGATCGTGACTATTATAATCCACCTACGGCCCAAAGTGCAGATTTGCGGTAATGGGACGCGAACCATGGATGCTCGGATGCAAATCCTGCAAGCTAACCACTGTGTTATTCCTGGTCTTCAATCAAACAAAATGCTGATTCGAATATCAGTTGGTTCGTATTTCTTCATTAATCTAATAGCTGACTTGACTTCAAACCATTTATACGTATTATATATATTTAATAGGCCACCCAGTGACACAGCGACAAGGCTGCGGACTTATAACGCTAGAAACCTGGCTTCGATGCCTGTGGTGGGCACAGCACAGATAGCCTATTGTGAAGCTTTGGGCTTATAATATATATACTTACATCAAGTTTGAGCGCTTATAAAGCTTAAATTCGGGGTTCAATCAATGCAGGAGCTCAGTGCAAGTAGAACATTGTGCACATTTGTGCTTAAACAAATATATATATATATATACATTAATTATCTGAGCATTAAGAATTACAAGAAATAATTACCCACATTGCAATAAGTAGAATTTTACTTAGGCGTTATCGTATAATTAATCTTGAGTAACGTTCATGTTTTCAATAAATGTTTGCTTTATAACAAACAGGAATAACATGTTGACTGACAACGAGCAGTTTACTGTAATAATTGTTGGCGAACCATAATTTTTTTTTTAGAATAAGAAGCGTGATTATCACCAAAATAGCGCTAAATATGTTTCGAATCATTCCATTTTCACTGAACCAGTGATACATTCGATATTTAGAAATATTTCTAATTATATTATAATTATAATTAAATGTTCAGATGAACAATGTTTCACTAACTTTGACATCATATAGCAAGCAACGTAATATGTAACTTCACCTGTTTTCTGCGAATCATTGAATCTTTACTGAACACAAATTCATATTTTAAAATATAACAGAAACACAATAACAACTGAATGTTTGAAATGAGACTAAAAAGCATTTGAAAAAAATAGATGTAAATAACATACCGTATAGAGTGCACCACTATATTTATAAAATAATTACTGAATAGTTATTTGATATATTATTGATTCTTAGGCTTAGAGAATCATTGAATACTAATCTCAGTCTTTTTTGTTGATGTATCCATGTAATTAACAGGGTAACGTGTGTGCACGAGTAGGCGGCTTCTTAAACTTCATTAAACTAAGCACCAATGAAATTAGGAGTGAGGAGGTACGGACGATGTCACCATATGTGTAAGGGAGGGATGGATGCATTGCAAAAGAAGTGAAATGGGAAAAATGGATCTGTCATAATTCAGAGCCCAGCAGTGTTTATGGGTTAAGGTCTCGTGTGGGAAATTCGTCCTTTCTTTATAGAATATTAAAGTAGCGGTACCGTCACCTTGTTGAGATTTAATACTTGGCCACGATATTCAAGTTTAGAAAGCATCGCTAGATCTGGACATATGTTTTTTTCTTATTTTAGAATGAAAAACATTCAGGTATTTTGTTAAGTTTGAGAGACATTACATAAAGATAATGAAGAACTCTACTGCCCTGAAAAAAAGAGAATAAATACAAGAAAAAATAAAGTCGACTTTTTATATATTCAGAAGACTTGTTTTAAACTAATTCAGAGCAAGAAACATTTAATTTAAGGACAAATAAATATTTGATCTTGCAGAATAGATTGAAGGTAATATATTCAGATTTGTTTTGAAGAATGAGAGCTAAGTTATGTTTATTATTAGGTTTATTTTTCGTGTGAATTTACCGCAAACTACAAATCGACTTTATCTCAAAGTTTACGAGTTGGCCAGTAATTAGTTGACAGAAGTTACACATTTTTAGTAATCAGTTGACAGAAGTTACACATTTTTAGTAATCAGTTGACAGAAGTTACACATTATTAGTAATCACTTGACAGAAGTTACACATTCTTTTGACGTAGGGCCTAGAATGACCTAATGGTCGTGGTGCTCAATTTGTAATCTGTGGATTGCGGGCTCGAATCCATGCCATCAAACTTGTTCACCCTTTCAGCCGTGGGGCGTTATAATGTGACGGTTAATCCCACTATTCGTTGTTAAAGAGTAGCCTAAGAGTCGGCGGTGGATGGTGATGATTAACTGCCTTCCCTCTAATCGATCACTGCTAAATTCAAAATACATCAAATCAGATCTTTTAACGTGACACACAGATCCTTTCAGAGTTAAAATCAATGAAAGCAGACCAAGATTTTAAAACAAATTCTCATTACTTTAGTAGGGTAAAGTATATACAATTTATAACAGCTTCATTATTGTAACCATTGAAGTTTTAGCGACAGATCTCCCCAAAATGTCGGATTTATTCGGTTTTAAATTAATTTTTTTTACCCTTTTCTTTATATTAATCTGTCCATAGATTTTAAAAGTAGCTGTATAGCTGTTTGTTCGTTCTTTATTGTGAAAAACGTTTTTTCTACTCCTCCAATGAAAATGTTTCTCTTCCTAGAAACTATCTAAATTGAATTTTTCATGAAAATATTTTCCAGAACTCGAAACTTCATTGTTTGTGTTTTAGATCAAAATAAATATTTCACATCATAAGCTGTTAGAACATTTTACCCATAGTAACATATTTAAAAATGAACATTCGAACATTGGATTTTGTGACTTAAAATGTTATTAAAACAGCAAAATGCCTTTGAGAACCTATACACTCTGTATATACAGCATCTGTGTGGCTCTCGCGATCCATCATATTTTTGTGACAAAAATTTCGCAAATCTTTATAGTAACGTTTGAGAGCCACTCTTTCAAGTGGAGTTATAACTGGCTTGGCGAGTCTTGAAATTATTTCTCTTTATCCTCAGCTCGTTATATCTTTCCTGGAGTTATAATTGTTTGAAGTTTGGCAATATGTAAAGAAAACAGTCCGAAATTTGAATAGTCTGAAGATATATGTTATGATTATCAAGAGTAAAATAACACAATCAGACTTAATTTCATTTGTGAATTGGGTTTTTTGAATTAGTAATTTAGAGTTGGAATAACTCATGTGTACGCTATAAACCTAATTTTAATTTTTATTTCTGTACACACTTTTAGCCCCCATACACTGGCCACTTCATCAAGAATCCTCATGTACTATCGTGTTGGACCACCTTTTGTAGCACGCATACACTGGCCACTTCATCAAGAACCCTCATTTAGTATCGCGTCGGACCACTTTTTGCCGCGATTTTAAGCTCGGATTCAGCGTAGCTTAGTT